TTATCCCTACAGTATAAGTTCGCATTATTAGTTTGCCTATATAGACATATCTCTATTATGAATTCCATATTCCACAATCCACTCATTGCCTGAAGTGGTTTTGTGAAGTTAACCCACTTAAAGCTATTTGCCAACTTGACATATTTTTCAGGCAAAGGAGATTCACTTTACACCACAATCATTAAAATTAACCGAGCAACAAGAGCTGAGCAGGCAACATGACAGCAATAATACACCAAAAAACGATGCCTCATCATAGGCGATATTAACTTTTCTCGCTCCTGCACCCACGCACTGTTTTCGCCTCTCAAATATCACAAGCACACCCCTAACAATTAAAGTCATTACCCGGCTATCATGTTGATAGTTCGGCTCGCAGCGAAACTCTAAGCTCCAGCAATGTCTCATGTGCCCCTTGGCTGTCTCTGTGTCTGTGTCGCCAGTGTGGGCCCAACTCTAAGCTGCCACAAAAACTTTGGAAAAGCCCCAGCCCCAAGCCCGGCACCGGCACCAGCCCCAGCCCCAGCCCCGAACGTCGCTCCAAACTGTCGACCCGCCCGAAAAATCCCGCCCCCAAACGTTTAGCATACAATTAGCCCAAAAGGCAACGCACTGGAAGCCAGGCAAAAACTTCAGTGAAAATTATTAAAATTTCTCATGTTGGTCGGGTCGTTGCTTCAAAAAGGGTTTGACCATATGGAAATTAGCATATGATACCCATTTCGTGGGCTGGCTCGCTCCCACCAAGCCAAGGTACACTTAGCTTTAAGCTTAAAGTCGATGCGAATTCGTGTCTAGTCATGCGGCACGAACTTTAGTGTGTGTATGAAAATAGAAAAAGTCGACGAGTTATGATTTTCCATTTTCCACATTTTCTTTTCACTTTATTTTTATTTTTTTGTCTATTTTTCCGGCTGCTGTTCTTGCGTTTTTTCTCAGCGTAAATTTTCCACCTTTTACACATTTTACTTCCATTTGATTAGATCGGCTTTTTAGGGCGACACGTGCGTCGCATGCAGGAGGCAGCAGCGGCAACAACGCCTCGCATCCTGTTTTGTTTTCACGACTCCGCCTCTCGCATTGTGTTGGCCATACACTTTCCTTAAAGGCTTATCAAATTGTAGTTGTTCTGGTAGATGTATGAAAAAGGAGATAAACTGAAGCGGATCTAGTGAGCTGTTCAGTACTTTCCTATAGAACTGAATATTCTTCCGATTGAGAAATTGGAATCATATATTTTATTTTATATTTAAATTTGTATGTATATCATATTATTCTGAATGAAAATGAATGAAAAATCTTTTTCTATTCAAACTGTATTGATTTTAAATAATTACTTTCCAAATTTAAGTATTAAAATCCTGGTAAGGATTTTCTTGAAATATTATTAAACAATAAACAACAATAGAAAAGCTTAACATAATTATTCGGTTGCGCAAAAATTTATATTATTTTTCATATATAATTACTATTGCTAACAGGCATTGTATTTTTATTTACATACTGCATGAACAGTATTAATATTTTTATATATATTAATTTTGTTATATATAAGCCAGAAATTATATATTTTATATTTTCATATAAAATATATATATTTTTTTATATTTGCATATTTTTTGATTAAATTTTATACCCATACATTTTTTTCATATATTCATATGCTCATAATATATATTTTTCCATAAAGTGTCATATATTCACATTTTAATTTATTTAAATTTTTTCGTAGATTCAAATTTTTTTTCTGATTTTTCTACATATTAAATTTTCATATTTTTTCGTATATTCTCAGATTTCACCCTTAAAATTAGTGAATCCCTTAGTCGGCTAACAAGATACAAAGTTCGACTTTTTGGAATTCACTTTTTATAGAAATTTGCACGCTCATCGTTTGAGAGTTTTAAGGCTTATCAGGCAGGCAGGCAACTTTGTCATAATCAACATCAAACAGGCTCGTCTCTCTGTTGGCATCATGAGCAGCAGCTATTATTATCCGGTATCCGTGCATTCAGCCCTCAATGCGTCACTTTTCACAGGACGCTCGTCTAATCAACGCGCTTAAAATCGACCGAAAAGGATGTCATCAGCAGCACCAGCAGTAGCAGCAGCAGCAGCAGCAGAAGGAGCAGCAGTAGCGGCAGTTGCAGCTGCGGCTTGTTGTCTGTTGATTAAAATTTGTTTGTCATTTCGATAAGGTACGAAGTTTTAGTGTCCGATCCGGCCTGGCAGTTCAATAACCCAGCCCCGGCCGCTGTGCTCTATCTGCTTTTCGCTGAGCCTGCATCTCCAATGAGGGGCTGTAAGTGCTCATCGCTTCAGTTTTTATGTCATGTTTGAATGTTGTTTTTTTTCTGTTTGTAATTCTCTCATCTCTTTCTGTTGCTCGTTGCAAAATATCTTGTACTAAACCACAGAGCTTTAATTCGGCAGTTGCCTTTTATGCCCTCCCTATTTTTTTTTGACACCTTTCAAGAAAGCAAACAACGAAAAAAATCAAAAATAAAATGCCAGAGGGCGAAACACATCATTAGACAACACTTTGTGGGTGATTTTTAAAACTTAAGGGTGAGTCAAAATACACGAATTGGGGTGTATTTAATTCTCTGATTTTATGAGTCCAAAAAGCACTTATTTCTATTAGGAGGAGAATCTGACTGAGTAAAGCTTTTGAATTGAGAATTTGTAGAACAATAAATAAGAAATAAACTGATAATAGATATAATTCTCAGCAGGAAAAAACTGACATAATATATATTAAAAATACATTACGTAAATAATTAATATCTAGATTATATAGATAATGCTTAATATTTCTAAAATTAATTTCAAATTATTAATTACTATTCAGAATTCATAAAAAATAGTATTGAAATTATTTCATATTTCTTTTATTTTTTTGAATAACGATTTTTTTGACTACTTGAATAGAATTAAAAATAAGCTGTTCATAAAAAAAATGCTTGATTTAAAGAGTTGTTAAAAATAGATGACAATATTAATGTTTTAATATTCAAAATATTTTCTTTATCACTAAAGTTGGGACAACTCACTCGCACTACTATTTATATGAACAATCCTGCATGTAGTATTGTATTTAATAATTTATTATTATTTTATATATATACATAAATAATTTAAGCTCAAGCAAATTTGTAAAAAATTATTTCCAGCTTTAACTTAACTTTGGTATATCTAAAAATGTTTTTTACATAAAGTAACATTTCAATAAGTGAGCCGTAAGCTTTCTTTCAATATTTGAGCGATTCAATTTCTTGAGTTGACATACTTGAGACTTCTGTTCACCTGACAAACATTACGTCCTTTGTGTGTAGCTCACCTTCTGCCTGCTGACTCCACCTCGCTCAATCTCATCAATGACATCAACTTTGCTAAAAAAAAAAAGAATATTTTCATATATGTAGCTTGACTCCCCGATATATTTTTTAATGTGTCGTGATTTATGCTTTATATTTTGTCTTCAAATATATATATATATGTTTATATGCTTTTCATTTTTTAAGCTCATCATGTTTTGCTTTATTTCTTGTGCATATTTTTGAGTCCCGTCAAACGTTTAGCATATTCCCTTTGTGCTGATTTTTAGCTACTGCTGCGCATTTGATGGTGCGCCGTGTTCTGTCTTCTTCTTCTTCGCTCTCTGCTTGCTGGTTGTTGCTCCCATTGTTGTTGTTGTGCTCATTTTAACTACAAACAGCACAGACAATCACAGTCGCAGGATAATACCAACAGCGCAGCCAGCTTTGCTCCATTAACAAAAACAACAACAGGCAGCAGAAGCTTCGCATAATTCCATGTAGACTTTGGGCTAAAATGGTCTCAGGCATAACGCTTGACTGGGGCAGGGGCAGGGGCATTTGGTTTGCCATGGGCGGAGTAGGAGGAGGAGGAGTGGCAACGCAGTCTGGTTTATAATGCGCGCCGCTTCACTACGCTTATTATTTGTAGCATACTTATTGGGTGGGTGGCTTTTTAAATATGCATAAAGAAAAGCATAGCGCACATCTCGGCGCTGTCTGCGGGCTGCTAGGGGGTAAGAGATGGTGCGCAGAAGTTGGGGCTCACATATTTGTCTGGGGCTTTGCATTATGCGTTGCGATGTCGCCTCGCCTCGCCTCTACTAGCTGCTGCTCTCTTTTGCGTGCTGTTTTTCTTTGCTGTTTTCACCTGGCGGCGTCTTTGCTCTTGCCGCTTTATTTAGCTTATTAAAATTTCACTTCATTTTGCGCTTCTTTTTTCCCTCTGATTTCTTTTCTTTCCACGTGAAATTTATATGCCATGCACTCGTAATTATGTCAATTTCTTCGACTTTGAACTGTGATTACATTTTTCGACGACTGTCTTTTGACTGATATTTGACATCTGATTGGACCATTTAGTCAATTGGTAGTTGCTCCCGAGGGAAGCATACTTTGAAGTACTTTTCATGCTATTTTCAATTTGAGCCACGATTCTTATTTTTTCTTTAATGATTTTTGGTCTCTTAGCAAATATTATTTATATATTTATTCTTTTATTTTTTTTTATGGAAAATATATCAATATATATAATTTACTATATTTTACTTAGTTTGCCAGAATTTGGAAATAGTATTAAATTTATTTTATTTAATTTTCCAGCTTCTTTTATAAACATTATCAAATTTTTATAAATACGATCAGCTGGCTAAGCTTGATTGTAAAGACATATTCGTTGATCAACCCTGATTTATTTTCCTAACATTACCTGAAATCATAAGATTCACATAGAAAGGTATATTAAAGAAATGAGATGGTCATTGTGTGTTTTGCAAAGGAAAGCCATGAATTGAGTTTTTCGCCATATATATTATAGCTGGCTTCAAATTTTCACCTTGCTGCAAGAGAATCACATGGAAGAGCGCAATTTTACCTTTCGCTAATATTTAGAGTTTTCGAAAATAATCAAAAAACAAATGTCCTTCAATAATCCAATTTATTTATTCAAAATATTAATCAGTTTCAATCATCACGGCGACCGCGTCTGCCACCACGTCTGCCACCACGTCTGCCACGGCCTCGTCCGCCGCGCCTGCCTCGGCGACCGCCGCGACCCCAACCGCCACGACCGCCACGATGACCGTGACGACGGCAGGGACAGTCATCATCATCATCATCATCATCGCTAGGGCTTACTGTAGTTGATATTGCTTCCGTCGTGGCTAGCACTACGGTAGTTGGAACCGAACACTCAACATTGTCCAGATTTGCAGCTAGAGTGCAGTCAACGCAATTGGCATCGGTGGGCGCAGCTGCACAGGTGACTGCCTTTCCGCACGGTAGGTAAGCAATAAGTATGGCCAAAAGAGTACAGCTCAAAATAATTGTGTGGCTTCTCATCTTGACGGAGGTCTTCACAGTTGCTGAATGATACCAATTCCGCCAAAATATTGCGTTTTTATAGCAACTCAAAACTTTTCGCTTAGCTAAAGTCTACACAGTTGTTATCACATCGTATTTGTCAAATACATATGATTATTATTAGCGATTTTGGACAGACGTCATAGAAATTATTTCTTGAACATACGCGAGAATTTTTGTTTGTTTATTTAGCTGTTGCCCGGCAGCATTTTATTAAAGATATTTGAGAAGAACCTATTTATTGTTTTATGAACTTAAATGTTATTGTAATATTAATAAATAAATAAACACATTTTGAATATTATACATTTTATTTATTTATATATATATAAATATAAAATTAACATTTTTTAATATTGATAAAATATTTTTTAGATCGAAAAATTCTTAATGAACTTTTGTATATAATTATTTATATATTTATGAATCACAATTTGTATAACAAGTGTTAAATTATATATTTTTTTATTAGAAATTAAAGAAATCAATTAATTAAATTATGAAATTGACTAGTCGGGAGTGCCCAACTAGAAGGTACCCTGCAGCTCAGCGAAGATGCTTTTTTCTTTCTTTCTAACTTTTATGGTCTGAACTGAGCTTTAAAAATTTTAAGTCGATGACTCTCATAAGAAATAGAGTGATATGAATGAACTAAACTTTAGGGTAGACAGAGCTAGGTCGACTTGAAGGTTACTATCGATCAAGCATACACATACTTCATGTTTTTTTATTTATGCCTGACTCAGCTTGTTGCATACTTTTCAGACAAAACCATAACACTCTCAACTCCATTTTATAGGGTAAGTAATTAATTTATTTCAACAATTTGTATGCCTAGCTCTCATTATTTAACCAACTGTCACTTGAAAATCATGACGCATAAAAAATATTTAAAATCAAAAATTTTGCGAATAATAACGTAAAAGCAATCGATGTTAGAGTCATAGAATGGCTATCTGTATAACTCTAACTTTTATTGAGTCGATTGCCACGATTGCCAAACGCACTTCACTCAACTTTTATTTTTAATAGACACAGAATGTCATCATTTCGTAGACCAGGTTCATTAGGAGTGAGCAAGAAGTGCAGAGTGAACAGCAATGAGCGGCAATTGAAGCGCCAGCAAAGCCATAACGTGAACACAAAACCCAAAAGACATTGACTAATAACTTATTTATGAACCTTCGGTTTATTGTTATGACTATGACCCAGGCAGAGCCCCTGCCCAAAGCAGCAACAATAAATACACGCTAAACTTTTCAATATTGATAAACTTTTTCTACACGAGAGCAAGAAAAAAGGAAAATAAACAAAAGACAGAAAATAAAAAACAAATGAAATAGGGAAAAACAAGCGGCAGCCGCTTCCGCTGGCCGCCATAGCACCGGAAATAGCTGCATGCAGACACTCACACACACGTTCACACACACACACATGCACAAAAAAACCGGAGACAAATGCCATTTACAATTTTTGTACATAAAGCCGCTTAAGCAGCACTCTGTCTGCCAACCTCGCACGCCTTGCTCCAGCTGCCGCCCCTTGCCACGCCCGCTTCGACATGTAATTTGTTTTTATGTCTGCCCATATACGTGAGATAACGCGACGAGCTGAGCTCTTTTTGTTGCGCTGCTTCCTCTTTCTATTTGCTGTTGTTGCTGCTGTATTCCTTCGATTAACATTGGCAACACTCAAATGGCGACTGTAAAGGTGGGCGTGGCAAGGGCATGGGCGTGCCATTCAACCCAAACAACAAGTGGCAGACGCTGCGACGACGATGACGACGAAGAACTGCCAACTGCCAACTGGGAACTACAAGCTGCGAACTGGCCCTGGAGTTGGCCCTGGCCCTGGCCCTGGCCGTGAATTCCATATATAATTTTTGCCTCCTTTTTGGCTGTGAGCAAAGTGAAAAATATCCTTGCCGCGCTGTGTTGCATTTGAAATTGTTCGGTAAAAAGCAAACGGGACGTATCGAACGGGAAAAGTTTTGAAAAACTGCCGAGCCGCAGTTGGAGCTGCCCTCAAATGGGTTGAGAGCTGAGGCTGGGAGCTCAGTTCGGCTGTGCGCATTTTGACATTAATGGAAGTGTTTTTTTTTTGCTTTTCGTGCGCTGTCGGAAATACAATATATATTAATATTGGCAGACGTGTTTAGTTTTAAATGGCAGACTTCCATTTTGGTTCCTTTATTTTTCCATTCTGCTCAGAATTTAAGCGTCTGGCTGTCTGAGCGCTAAGACTATGTCAAATTGTTTGAAAAGCTTGGCCAAACAACTCGCTTTATTAAAAAGTTTCCATTTCTCAAGCGTGCTGACTTCACAGCATATGAATATTAACTATTTATATTTACCTAAATACATAACTAAGCTTCGCAGCCATTTCCATTGCTGTGTAAACACAAGCTCTAATAATTCTCATATGTATATAATCAGCTGATTATTTTCAAAAATAAAAAACACTTGACGCATGATTATGCAAATAAATAGTATTCATATATATAGCTGCTTCTTAGATTTTAAGGCTTTGTTGGTATATAGGAACAAATAAAATCTATTTATTTTATATTTTTATTTTGCCATTTGTTAATAATTCGCTGGGCTAAAAATACAAAAATCTGCAAAGTTATGGACTCGCAAAGAAAAATGAATAAAAAAAATATAAATTGTAAATAAATTACTACTATATTAAAGTATTATATATTATTTATTAATAATTGCACTTGAAAGCATTTTGGATTAAGTTTAACTTATTTATCATTTACATTAAACGCATTTGAATAAAAAATATCTTAGAGATTTTAGCACTTTGAGGTTAAACAATGAGTAAATTGAAAAAAAGAAAGAATTGAGAAACAATTAAAAGCTAATGGCTAATGGGCCATAGGGTAGAGCATATCGATAAGCGCAGAATAATTTGAAAAGAAACTAACTAAAGAATCTCAAATGAATAAAGATATTTATTGATTTTTAATTCATTGACAAGCAATTTCATCTTCTTGAGACCATCTTTTTTTGGTTTTGGTATTGGAGGGTTAAAGAAGAAAATTAGCAGGGACAGTGCGTGCTTTTAAAGTAAAGATAATTTATATAGAGAAGAGATAATTAAAATATATAGTATTTATTATTTAAGAATATGAATACCAAATTTTATGAAAGTAAATTTGAAGGAGAAGAAAAGCTTGTTCGTATGTATTCTCAATAATTTAAAGCAAATGGTCTTGCTATAGAAGAACCTACTCTACGACTACTCCCAAGACATCCACACAGTCAGAGGGATATGCGCACAGTTGGACAGACAATGGACCGCGCTAGATCGATTCGACTGCTGATTCTGATTAAAAATATACATATATATATTTTTTAGCAAAGCAAAAGTATCGAAAAATCAATTAATGCATCCCACATATTGTTTAATATATTTATAGCTAAAGACTTCAGTAACTTCTTTAATCTTTCTCATCTCTGCAGGCTAAAGAAATTGGGTCACTGGTGCATTGAAGGCATTCGCATGATTGTTTATTCATTAAGCAATGAGGTACAGAAATCATAGAACTTTTAAGTAGAGCCAAGTAGTACATTAATTAGAGGGGTTGCTGCCGATAAAGAAAGTTCTTGTTGTTGCAGCCCAACCCCGAAGGAAAAAGTTGAAAGCATTTAAAGAAACTTGAGTTCGCTTCACTTTCACTCGACGGGAATTTGTTTTATTTGATTTGATGGTCACATTGCGTGACAGTAATTACAAAATAAATGCAAACATCTGCAGCGGATCACACAGAGACGCCCAAAGACGACACGCCAAGGCAACGAAAGGGATGTGTCCGAGAGGGTGGGCGATTGGGATTTCGTACAGCAATTGGGATGTGCGTGCTTCAGGGGAGACTCTCTCCCCCCACCCCTCTCACTCTCTCTATCAAATGTGTGTGTTTTTGTCTGGATGGTTTTGTGTATCTTTCTAGTTGTTGTTATTGTTAGTAATTCGAGTAGTGGCTGTGTGATGCATGCAGCTCTTGATGGATTGGCATAGAGTTGCAGCTCGCAAAGGGAGAGCAGGCTGGCAGGCCCGTGGTGCAGGCAACCGACTCGCTTGGTTGTTTTTGCTGTATTCTATTACATGTGTAAGTTGCGCTTAAGTTTTCCGAAGTGCCATGTGACAAATTCGACAACAGCTGAGACCAATTGCTCAAAGTTTCACACACACTCGCTCGCTCGCACCTTTCGGGCTGGGGCCATGCATCGCTTCATCTATCAATCAAGCGTTGGCAAAGGCAATCATAAAACTGCCATTAAGCCAGCAGAGCCGAAACTCTATCATAAATCTTGAACGTAATCTTTAAAAAAACAGCTATCCACCCACAGGCAGCCGCCCGAAATGCTATTGCATTTGCTTTCGTTATTAACATATTGTTTACTTTAGCCAAAAACCAAACACATTTTCCATTATCTGCATGTGCAGCAGCAGCAGCAGCAGCAGGAGCAGGAGCAGCAGCTGCAATATATCCCTTCCCTGCTTTAAAATCCCTCTCATTGGCTCGGCAATTTATCAAATGTTTTTCGCTGGCGGAAACGGAAGCTGCCGGAAGCTGCATCAAGCTACGTGTCATAATGGAGCGAAAGCGGCTTCGAGTTGGGCTCTGGCAGTTGGGCTCTGCGGCTAATGGCGCTAATAACGCACCATCAAATATTAATAATAATGGGGCAGAGAAAATATATATAAAAAAAGAAACGAATGCTGACGGCCAGCACTTCCGCTCGACCAATGTCCGGCTGAAGTGCCTCCTCACACACGGCGCTGTTCTTACGCTCTGCCCCATCGACCAGCTACACGTCCATCAGCTGCCACTCGAAGGCAAAGTTTGCACTTGAAACGCATTGAACTTGAGTGTGTGTGGGTGTGTGAAGTGTGTGTGTTGGACATTTTGATTAGCTCTATGCCTGGACATATGCCGGAAATGGCAATATTGGCAATAGGCGCAATGG